CAGGTGAGAGACATTTAGGATAGGTGAGACAGACGGTTAGGAAAGGTGAGAGACAGTCAGGACAGGTGAGACAGACGATTAGGACAGGTGAGAGACGGTCAGGACGGGTGAGACACGTCAGGACAGGTGAGAGACGGTTAGGATAGGTGAGACAGACGGTTAGGACAGGTGAGAGACAGTCCGGACAGGTGAGACAGACGATTAGGATAGGTGAGACAGACGGTTAGGACAGGTGAGAGACGGTCAGGACAGGTGAGAGACAGTTAGGATAGGTGAGACAGACGGTTAGGACAGGTGAGAGACAGTCAGGACAGGTGAGAGACGGTTAGGATAGGTGAGACAGATGGTTAGGGCAGGTGAGAGACGGTGAGAGACGGTCAGGACGGGTGAGACACGTCAGGATGGGTGAGAGACGGTCAGGACAGGTGAGACAGACGGTTAGGGCAGGTGAGAGACGGTTAGGACAGGTGAGACAGATGGTTAGGACAGGTGAGAGACGGTTAGGATAGGTGAGACAGATGGTTAAGACAGGTGAGAGACAGTCAGGACAGGTGAGAGACGGTTAGGATAGGTGAGACAGATGGTTAGGACAGGTGAGAGACACGTCAGGACAGGTGAGAGACGGTTAGGATAGGTGAGACAGATGGTTAGGACAGGTGAGAGACACGTCAGGACAGGTGAGAGACGGTTAGGATAGGTGAGACAGATGGTTAGGTCAGGTGAGAGACGGTTAGGATAGGTGAGAAAGATGGTTAGGACAGGTGAGAGACAGTCAGGACAGGTGAGAGACGGTTAGGATAGGTGAGACAGATGGTTAGGACAGGTGAGAGACGGTTAGGATAGGTGAGACAGATGGTTAGGACAGGTGAGAGACAGTCAGGACAGGTGGGAGACGGTTAGGATAGGTGAGACAGATGGTTAGGATAGGTGAGAGACAGTCAGGACAGGTGAGAGATGGTTAGGATAGGTCAGACAGACGGTTAGGACAGGTGGGAGACACGTCAGGACAGGTGAGAGACGGTTAGGATAAGTGAGAGACGGTTAGGATAGGTGAGACAGATGGTTAGGACAGGTGAGAGACAGTCAGGACAGGTGAAAGACGGTTAGGATAGGTGAGACAGATGGTTAGGACAGGTGAGAGACAGTCAGGACAGGTGAAAGACGGTTAGGATAGGTGAGACAGATGGTTAGGACAGGTGAGAGACAGTCAGGACAGGTGAGAGACGGTTAGGATAGGTGAGACAGATGGTTAGGACAGGTGAGAGACGGTCAGGAAAGTGAGACAGACGGTTAAGGCAGGTGAGAGACGGTTAGGATAGGTGAGACAGACGGTTAGGACAGGTGAGAGACGGCCAGGACAGGTGAGAGACGGTTAGGATAGGTGAGACAGACGGTTAGGACAGGTGAGAGAAGGTTAGAGACGGTCAGGACAGGTGATACACGTCAGGATGGGTGAGAGACGGTCAGGACAGGTGAGACAGACGGTTAGGACAGGTGAGAGACGGTTAGGATAGGTGAGACAGACGGTCAGGACAGGTGAGACACAGTCAGGACAGGTAAGAGACGGTTAGGACAGGTGAGAAGTGGTCAGGACAGGTGAGAGACGGTTTGGACAGGTGAGACAGACGGTTAGGACAGGTGAGAGACACGTCAGGACAGGTGAGAGACGGTTAGGATAGGTGAGAGACGGTTAGGATAGGTGAGACAGATGGTTAGGACAAGTGAGAGACGGTTAGGACAGGTGAGAGACACGTCAGGACAAGTGAGAGACAGTCAGGACAGGTGAAAGACGGTTAGGACAGGTGAGACAGATGGTTAGGACAGGTGAGAGACACGTCAGGACAGGTGAGAGACGGTTAGGATAGGTGAGACAGATGGTTAGGACAGGTGAGAGACAGTCAGGAAAGTGAGACAGACGGTTAAGGCTGGTGAGCGACGGTTAGGATAGGTGAGACAGACGGTTAGGATGGGTGAGAGACGGCCAGGACAGGTGAGAGACGGTCAGGGCAGGTGAGACAGATGGTTAGGACAGGTGAGAGACGGTCAGGACGGGTGAGACACGTCAGGACAGGTGAGACAGACGGTTAGGACAGGTGAGAGACAGTCAGGACGGGTGAGACACGTCAGGACAGGTGAGAGACGGTTAGGATAGGTGAGACAGACGGTTAGGACAGGTGAGAGACAGTCAGGACAGGTGAGACAGACTGTTAGGATAAGTGAGACAGATGGTTAGGATAGGTGAGAGACAGTCAGGACAGGTGAGAGACAGTCAGGACAGGTGAGAGACGGTTAGGATAGGTCAGACAGACGTTTAGGACAGGTGAGAGACATGTCAGGACAGGTGAGAGACGGTTAGGATAGGTGAGAGACACGTCAGGACAGGTGAGAGACGGTTAGGATAGGTGAGACAGATGGTTAGGACAGGTGAGAGACAATCAGGACAGGTGAGAGACGGTTAGGATAGGTGAGACAGACGGTTAGGACAGGTGAGAGACGGTTAGAGACGGTCAGGACAGGTGAGACACGTCAGGATGGGTGAGAGACGGTCAGGACAGGTGAGACAGACGGTTAGGACAGGTGAGAGACGGTTAGGATAGGTGAGACAGACGGTCAGGACAGGTGAGACACAGTCAGGACAGGTAAGAGACGGTTAGGACAGGTGAGAAGTGGTCAGGACAGGTGAGAGACGGTTTGGACAGGTGAGACAGACGGTTAGGACAGGTGAGAGACGGTCAGGACAGGTTAGACACGTCAGGAGGGTGAGAGACGGTCAGGACAGGTGAGACAGACGGTTAGGACAGGTGAGAGACGGTTAGGACAGGTGAGACAGACGGTTAGGACAGGTGAGAAGTGGTCAGGACAGGTGAGAGACGGTTAGGACAGGTGAGACAGACGGTTAGGACAGGTGAGAGACACGTCAGGACAGGTGAGAGACGGTTAGGATAGGTGAGACAGATGGTTAGGATAGGTGAGAGACAGTCAGGACAGGTGAGAGATGGTTAGGATAGGTGAGACAAACGGTTAGGACAGGTGAGAGACGGTTAGGATAGGTGAGACAGATGGTTAGGACAGGTGAGAGACAGTCAGGAGAGGTGAGAGACGGTTAGGATAAGTGAGACAGATGGTTAGGACAGGTGAGACAGATGGTTAGGACAGGTGAGAGACAGTCAGGACAGGTGAGAGACGGTTAGGATAGGTGAGACAGATGGCTAGGACAGGTGAGAGACACGTCAGGACAGGTGAGAGACGGTTAGGATAGGTGAGAGACACGTCAGGACAGGTGAGAGACGGTTAGGATAGGTGAGACAGATGGTTAGGACAGGTGAGAGACAGTCAGGACAGGTGAGAGACGGTTAGGATAGGTGAGACAGACGGTTAGGACAGGTGAGAGAAGGTTAGAGACGGTCAGGACAGGTGTGACACGTCAGGATGGGTGAGAGACGGTCAGGACAGGTGAGACAGACGGTTAGGACAGGTGAGAGACGGTTAGGATAGGTGAGACAGACGGTCAGGACAGGTGAGACACAGTCAGGACAGGTGAGAGACGGTTAGGACAGGTGAGAAGTGGTCAGGACAGGTGAGAGACGGTTTGGACAGGTGAGACAGACGGTTAGGACAGGTGAGAGACGGTCAGGACAGGTGAGACACGTCAGGATGGGTGAGAGACGGTCAGGACAGGTGAGACAGACGGTTAGGACAGGTGAGAGACGGTTAGGACAGGTGAGACAGACGGTTAGGACAGGTGAGAAGTGGTCAGGACAGGTGAGAGACGGTTAGGACAGGTGAGACAGACGGTTAGGACAGGTGAGAGACACGTCAGGACAGGTGAGAGACGGTTAGGATAGGTGAGACAGATGGTTAGGATAGGTGAGAGACAGTCAGGACAGGTGAGAGATGGTTAGGATAGGTGAGACAAACGGTTAGGACAGGTGAGAGACGGTTAGGATAGGTGAGACAGATGGTTAGGACAGGTGAGAGACAGTCAGGAGAGGTGAGAGACGGTTAGGATAAGTGAGACAGATGGTTAGGACAGGTGAGACAGATGGTTAGGACAGGTGAGAGACAGTCAGGACAGGTGAGAGACGGTTAGGATAGGTGAGAGACACGTCAGGACAGGTGAGAGACGGTTAGGATAGGTGAGACAGATGGTTAGGACAGGTGAGAGACAGTCAGGACAGGTGAGAGACGGTTAGGATAGGTGAGACAGACGGTTAGGACAGGTGAGAGAAGGTTAGAGACGGTCAGGACAGGTGAGACACGTCAGGATGGGTGAGAGACGGTCAGGACAGGTGAGACAGACGGTCAGGACAGGTGAGACACAGTCAGGACAGGTAAGAGACGGTTAGGACAGGTGAGAAGTGGTCAGGACAGGTGAGAGACGGTTTGGACAGGTGAGAAGTGGTCAGGACAGGTGAGAGACGGTTAGGACAGGTGAGACAGACGGTTAGGACAGGTGAGAGACGGTTAGGACAGGTGAGAAGTGGTCAGGACAGGTGAGACAGAAGGTTAGGACAGGTGAGACAGAAGGTTAGGACAGGGGAGAGAAGGTTAGGACAGGTGAGAAGTGGTCAGGACAGGTGAGAGACGGTTTGGACAGGTGAGACAGACGGTTAGGACAGGTGAGAGACGGTTAGGACAGGTGAGAAGTGGTCAGGATAGGTGAGACAGACGGTTAGGACAGGTGAGAGAAGGTTAGGACAGGTGAGAAATGGTCAGGACAGGTGAGAGACGGTCAGGACAGGTGAGACACGTCAGGATGGGTGAGAGACGGTCAGGACCGGTGAGACAGACGGTTAGGACAGGTGAGAGACGGTTAGGACAGGTGAGACAGACGGTTAGGACAGGTGAGAGAAGGTTAGAGACGGTCAGGACAGGTGAGACATGTCAGGATGGGTGAGAGACGGTCAGGACGGGTGAGACGGTGTAGCAGGTTTACCTGGAACCATTTGGAATCTGTTCTGGTCAGCGTGATGGGTTTGTGGGGGTGTTTGTGTGTCCAGGTGATAGACGGATCCCTGACTGAGTTCAGCTGTGTGATCCGAGACCAGACTAAAGCTCAGAGGATCACAGATCACCTGGAGGGCTTCCTTACCAGGTAGGCCACGCCCTCTGACCACATGATTATTAATGAGGTGTGTTGATGTACGTGTTTATATTCACATATTAAAATACCGCGTGTGTTTCAGCTATAAGAAGCGTGTGGAGGAGTTTATGAAGGGAAACCACAGTAACGTCCTCCCAGTGATCAAGGCTCACCTGGTCTGCGAGGAGCAGCTCAGGTACGATGACTCAGATCTTAATCTGCGGCTCTTTGTCTTGTTAGTTAAAACTGAGCTCTGATTGGACCCTGTGACCCTGCTGCTGATTGGTTCTCTGTGACTGTCCTCAGGGATTACATCACAGGTCAAACAGGAAGTCTGTCAGAGCAGCAGACAAGTCGTTGTCTGGACGCGTTGTCTGCCCTGAAGGATTGTGGGTACAGGTGTTTCACCTGTCCCTTTCATGTCCAGCTGAAGGTACAAATACTTTGTGAACTGATGGTCCTGCAGAACCCAAAGTAATCCATGAATATGTCATTACATGCACCACCTGGACCCAGAACTTCCTGTTCAGCCAGGACGCCGTAGGTCAAGGCAGACCCTCAGCGGGGCCGCCCCCCTTGTGAAGCCCGATGCGGCCGTTCATTGATCAGTTATGTCACATTTCATGACCAATAAACAAAACCAGTAACCGATGGTTGTGTGTTCAGGTATGTCTCAGTCCGCTGTGGACGTCTCCCTGGTTGGACGGGACACTTCCTGTCGTCGACTCTCTGCTGGACTCTCTGTACCAACAACTGACCGACCTGGCCGACCTGAAACCCGCCTGCAGACAGGTGAGACTGTTTACCTGTCTGTTTCCCACCTGTCCCTCTGACTGACCACCTGTCCCCTCTGCAGGCCCTGCTGTGTGTCCTCCATCAGGATGTGGTTCTTCAGTATGTGAAGAGGATGATGAAGACCAAGATGAAGAGCAGAGAGCAGCAGGTGGACGGGGCTCAGCGGATGATTGAAGACGCCCAAAAGATCAACGACTTCTTCAAGGAGGAGGTGAGACACGTTCACCTGTCCTCAGGTGTGTGATGTCTGAACGCCAGGACGTGACAGGAAGTACTTCTCATTACATTTATCTAAAGCGACGAACAACATCAGAAGAGAATCAGAAGAGATGTACAAGTGACGATAGACTCAGATACAGTAGAAGAGCTCTCAGCTCATACGGCGTGGCAGCAGAGCAAGGCGGCGTTCGTTGGAGGAGCGCAGCGGCCCAGAAGGAACGTAGGCTTGCATTCTGGAGTTTAGGTAGATGGTGCAGACCCAGGAGTCACTCTGAATGCAGCATCAGGGACTTGGATCTGATTCTGGAGCCAGTGGAGGTCACTGAGTAATTGAGGGACATGAGTCCTTTTGGGCTGATCAGAAACCAGACAGGCTGCTGCGTTCTGAACCATTTGTAGGGGTTTTACAGGCTGGAAGACAGAGAGATAACCACGGCCTGTTCCAGCAGCTGGGTGGCGTACTGAGTGAGGTAGGGCCTGATTTTCCTTATGTTGTATAGAGAAAAGCGGCACGACCGAGAGACCAGCAGCAACATGGTCTGAAAAGGACAGCTGGTCATCAATCATGAAGTTTCTCACCACCTTGGTTGGAGTGATGGTTGAGGAGGCAGTTTGTAGTTTGATGTTATGGTGGATAGATTGCTTGGCTGGAATGACCAAGAGTTCAGTCTTAGAGAGGTTTAGTTGAAGGTGGCAAGACTTCATCCATGCAGATATGTCTGATAGACAGTCCTTGATCCGCGCTGAGACGGTGGAGTTGTCTGGCGGGAAGGATAGGTAGAGTTGCGTGTCGTCTGCGTAGCAGTGGTAAGAGAAGCCGTCCGAGCGAATGATCGGCCCCAGTGAGGTGGTGTAGATTGAGAAGAGAAGGGGCCCAAGCACTGAGAGCAGATAGCAGGATCCTGTGATTGGCTGTGTCAAAGGCAGCTGATAGGTCAAGCAGGAAACAATCACCATCTAACCGTCTCACATCACTACACCCACTACATGACAGCAGTACTTTGGCAGTACAGCGGTATGGTTGCAGTACTGTGTTTGTGTCCTCAGGGCTGCAGCGGGTCTCTGTGGCTCGGGGAGCTGCTCTGCAGCCTGGCTGAGATCCTCCGTTTGCAGGATCCTGCAAGCGTTCAGCTGGAGATGGTCAGCGTGGCCAGAACCTTCACGGACCTCAGGTACAGACAGACGCTCACCCCCCTTCACTAAAACATGGCTGCCGAGTACCAAGTACTGTAGGAACTGTAGCTTTGTGCTGTTCTTAGACGATAGAAGCATCGTGAAGGCGTCACTGTGGGCTCTGCGTAACTGTGACGGCATTTCTCAATATTTTCAGAATCTCGAAAATTGATTAATGGAGAAAATATTCAGCAGATTGATCCAGAAAGAAAATAATCAAAATCCTGCTTTACATTAATGATGAGGAAAAATAATCTCATATAGAATAATACAACAGTCACAGGACAGTGCGTACTTTTACTTTTAATACTTTGAGTACATTTTCCATTACATACTTTTACTTCAGCAACATTTAAAGTATTTTTAGAGTGTGGTATTAGTACTTTTACTAAAGTAAAGGATCTGAACTCTTCGTGCAGCCTGTTTCTAATAAATAGCGTCGTTGGAAAGTTTGAGTCATGACCTCGTTTCCTCTGTGAAACCTCACAACCAGCAGCCGCTCGGGCCTGAATGTAGATGTGAACAGTGAATCACAGCTCATTCACCGCTGTCACCCAGCAAACGAGCCCTTTCATTGGACGTCTGCCAGTGATGTCATCTCTGTTTAACACATCACAGTAGTGAAAGAAAATCTCCAAACATTAACAGCAGCGAGACGAGGTTCTGTCGTTCGTTACAGAGACTTTCATGGGTTCTCTGACTGTGTTTGTTATTGGAGCCCTGAATAGTTTGAACCGTGCAGCTCTTCCTCTCAGGCCCAGACCACCTCCAGCAGCAGGTCAGGGCGGGCTGTATGTCTCCTGTAAGGTAAAACCCAGAGGTGAAATGCCCGTACTCCTTTATTACTCTAAGCCCACTGTCCTGCCTGAAGGCGCCGACTCCTCCTGGGCAGTAAGAGGACGTTTAGTCAGAAAACCAAAATGAAACAACAGAAAGCGAAAAGGTCTTCAGAGGAAGTGACATCATTAAAGATTAGTCAACGCCTCGTGTCCTTCTGGACCAGCTGACGGTGGGTCCATCAGAAAAGCAGCTCATGTGTTACAGAAAAGGGAACTCATGTAAAGTTAGACAAGATAAGACGCATGTGAGAGACCCGGGTTCAACCCCCCCTCCTGATCCTTTCTGCTCCTTTGATGTTTATCAGTGTTGAATTAAAAACGGATTAAAGTTTGATCACTTGATATTTTCCTCACACGTCCACCAGGTGGGTCAGATATTTAATCTGTGTTGTCTCTCCTCAGTGGCGCTCACGTGACGGCGCTGCTCTCGCTGAAAACCGGCCTATCAGCTGCTGACATTCGCTCCATCAGGCGGAGCGTGGAGGAGAACCGCCTCCTCGATGTCTCCACCAATCAGAGCCCCCTCTTCTTCTCCAAGGTCAAAGTCCCATGGATCAACAATAAGATCAGTCAGATGGGGCTGAAGGCCTGAATTGTTTCAGTATGTAGTAGGTACTGTATATGAATATTTATGTAGTATGTTTATATATAGTTAGCACGTTAGCATGTTAGCATGTTAATGGTCAGTAAACAGGAGTTTTTTTGTCACGAGTCCTGAGTGCAGATACGGGGAAACAGGGACCGAGATGCAGAACACCAGACCAGTTCAGATTTCTTAGTTTGTTTGTCCAACACGTTCTCATAACTGACGCTTTCGGACAGCGTGACAAAGCGTAACGATTTTATGAAACGCCCCCGTTTCCTATGTTGCAGCAACACAAGGGAGGCTAACCCTACCTGTGAGTACATCGCCCGTGAGGCCCCAGAGTGTCTCATAGAGACGCTTCCAGAAGCGTCTCATGGAGATGCACCTGCTGCGTCTCACACGCATCTCACACCTACGCTTTGTCACACCTTCTCAAATCGTCGCCCTGAGATGAGAACGGCCTCGTTTATCAGGAACACAAACGGTACGAGCTCACGAGAGGCGGCAGGAAATGTCCCGAACAAAAGAAAATCCCTCCCCTGTCTGTACCGGTCACAGTGTGTTCCAGAGCTGCTGCTTTATCTCTCTACTAAAAACATTTTATTTTGAAAGTCGTTGCCAGTGGTTACAGGCAGGCGGCCATGTTGAAGGACAGACAGCTAAACAAAGATTTATCAGAAGGCTTAAAACAGAAAGTTGTAGAGACAGCCTCTGCAGCTCAGAGGAGACCTGGACTGGTGTTCCTCAGGGTTCCGTCCTGGATCCCATGTGGTTCCTTTTCTAACTGATAGAAAACACGGTACTCATTTTGTTGTTATATGTAGTAGCTGTGTGACCAATGTCTTTATTTATTATTATTACCGAATAGTGATTGTTTACCACCTTAATAAAGCTTGACTTAAACAAACGATCTGATTACATTTTCTTTTACACACACCGGTACGGCTCCTCCAAATCTTTCCAAAAGTCCTGGGACAGTAAAAGAACCTCGTTAGTTTTCACCCAAAAAGAATCCTCTTAAAGGTCCAGTGTGTAATATTCAGTAGGATCTACTGACAGAAATGAAATATAAGTGATGTATAAAGACCTTACTTAATGAACCGTTATGTTTTTATACCTTAGAATGAGACATTTCTATCTACAGACACCGCGGCTCTACCGTGTTTCTACAGTAGCCCAAACGGACAAACTGCCCTACAGAGTGCGTTTCATCAGTACGTTAAATACTTAGTAAGTATTCGTCTGGTTTATTAGAAGTAAGAGGAGAAGATAAATCTGGACGTGTTATTTAGCTCAGAGCCGCTGTAGCTTCTCCTGCTCGCTTGCAAAGGGGGCGGTGAGCGGTGACTGATGGTGCATTCATGTGGTGTCGGAATAATCACAATCTTTTTCTGCTCCTTAAATCTTTATTGCAAAAAGAGGACTAAAGTGTACATGGGACGTAAAGAGGTACACAGAACTTTGATTCGTACAAAATCACATGTTGCATAAACATATTTTGGAAACATGCAGTGTGTAAAGTGGTTATAACGGTTAGTTTGCTGTCCATGTAGAGTAAACTGGACGTCATCAAGTATTCATACGCACATCTCAGTACATATATATATATATATATATATATATATATATATATATGTAGTGTCTACAACCTGTTTCAGTTACACAAGTTACAGAGAACACAAACAGTAAAATAAAGAGATTAAGTAGAAATCATAATAAGAAAGATAAAAAAGATGAACTCTATCCAGAAGATCGTCTTCAGTTTCCTGTTCAGAGACAAAACAAAGTGTCAGTTCCTCATGTTCATGCACCTGGAACATCGTTTGTGCTGCAGCACTCCAGCACTAACGCTTTCCTGAACAGTAGTCTAAAGAGACATCAGCACGATGCGTTCACACAGCCGCCCAGCGACCAGCACACACAGGTGATCAAACTGTCTGTCTTGGATGTGGTTATGGGTTTAGTTACTTCCTGTTTTATTTTGAAGTTATCCGCCTCTTCTGTCCTTGTCTAACTGTTTCCTGTCTGTGGTGACATCACCTTCTCACTCCCAGGTCTTTACATATGGACCCAGGGTCGAGCTCTGTTGGCATCAGTTAGTAGCGTACTGGGGAGCCCCTTAGTGGGGAAAGACCCTAACCCTGGAACGCCAGCTTTAGAGAGTCAGAGTACGGAGGTGGTTGGTGGAAGTGGACAGTGGGCCAGAAACCAGACTTTAACCCTGGAGACGGGTCTGAGTTTCCTGTGTGGAACAAAAAGTCAATGTTTTTATTTAGGTCACTGTAAGTTGCATAGTAGCACATTTCAAGTGTTTGTGACCACTCAAAGCACACTTTGTTTACACCACATCACGTTCACATGCACATTCACACACGTTCACACACATTAATACACGTTCACACACACATTAATACACGTTCACACACACATTAATACATGTTCACACACATTAATACACGTTCACACGCACATTCACACACGTTCACACACATTAATACACGTTCACACGCACATTCACACACGTTCACACACATTAATACACGTTCACACGCACATTAATACACGTTCACACACATTAATACACGTTCACACGCACATTCACACACGTTCACACACATTAATACACGTTCACACGCACATTCACACACGTTCACACACATTAATACACGTTCACACGCATATTAATACACGTTCACTAACATTAATACACGTTCACACGCACATTCACACACGTTCACACACATTAATACACGTTCACACGCACATTCACACACGTTCACACACATTAATACACGTTCACACACATTAATACACGTTCACACGCACATTCACACACGTTCACACACATTAATACACGTTCACACGCACATTCACACACGTTCACACACATTAATACACGTTCACACGCACATTAATACACGTTCACACACATTAATACACGTTCACACACATTCACACACGTTCACACACATTAATACACGTTCACACGCACATTCACACACGTTCACACACATTAATACACGTTCACACGCACATTCACACACATTCACACACATTAATACACGTTCACACGCACATTAATACACGTTCACGCACATTAATACACGTTCACACGCACATTCACACACGTTCACACACATTAATACACGTTCACACGCACATTCACACACATTCACACACATTAATACACGTTCACACGCACATTCACACACGTTCACACACATTAATACACGTTCACACGCACATTAATACACGTTCACACACATTAATACACGTTCACACGCACATTAATACACGTTCACGCACATTAATACACATTCACACACATTAATACACGTTCACACGCACATTCACACACATTAATACACGTTCACACGCACATTAATACACGTTCACACACATTAATACACGTTCACACACACATTCACACACATTAATACACGTGCACACACACATTAATACACGTTCACACACACATTCACACACATTAATACACGTTCACACACGTGCACACACACATTAATACACGTTCACACGTTCACACACACGTTCACACACATTAATACACGTTCACACATGTTCACACACGTTCACACACACGTTCATACAAATTAATACACGTTCACACACGTTCACACATTAATACACGTTCACACACATTAATACATGTTCACACACACATTCACACACACGTTCACACACACGTTAATACACGTTCACACACATTAATACATGTTCACACACACATTCACACACACGTTCACACACACATTAATACATGTTCACACACACATTCACACACACGTTCACACACACATTAATACATGTTCACACACACATTCACACACACGTTCACACACACATTAATACATGTTCACACACACATTCACACACACATTAATACACGTTCACACACATTAATACATGTTCACACACACATTCACACACGTTCATACACGTTCAAACACATTCACACAACCATACATAAGCTTCAGGTTGCCTATAATGATGTGGATGTAAGTGGTGCGGTGCACTTTCCAGGCACTACAGACAAATCTGATGTCCACATGTATCTGTCGACTGGATGGCTCTCAGAACGGCATTAAGCTGCTGACAGATCCTGGTGATAGTGTTGTACGATACCAGTCACCTCTGTGGAAGCATTGGTACAACTGTCTTTTATAAAAATCGCCCTTTTTTTCTGTGCTGAAGTATTTTATGAGGTGTTGTGTGGCGAAAAACACAATCAAGATGAGAAAGGCCTGAGTGACAGAGCCAAAAAAAGAACCAGCAAAACCTCCTGTTGGACAGGTAACTAACATTAGTGCAAAGCAGCTGGAATATATTCTTATTTTGTGCTTTAGTTAGATCACGTTAGCTTGCTGGCTAACACCGACCTGTTGCTAACGTTATCCGGTGCATAACACTACAGCTGTATGGCTGTGCTCACATTCCTTTACCAGCTAAATGCCCATACTCAGGTCCACCATCTCAGTCGCTGTAACTTCTGAGACCCACAAAATATACAATGATGCACAATGATACCAGCTCAGGACAACACCACAGAAGAAGACCCATCTACAGTAGTGTCACTCACTGCGGTCTAACTGTTCTACAATATCCAGTCAGCTCACTAACCGTTTTCATTCTTAGAAATGAAGCTGAGCCTCCGGTGAAAGATAGTTATTAGAAAGCTGCAGACGAGCTGAATGCACGTCAGTGTAGCATGATCGTGTGACCAGCATGGATTAGTTCAACCTGCAGCTGATAAAATATCACTGTAACGCTGCAGTGGCAGTTTGTACAGCATGTGGTGTGAGTCTGTCTCTGTGTCTTACGCTCTGTCACGAGTTGGACGCCACAGAAAGCTACAGCCCCTTTAAGTAGTCATGTTAAATGACCGAATCTTTAGATAACCTCCATGCCATGTCCCGTCTTCAGTCATGATTGTGTGACTGTGTTATTTACATCTTAATGTTGCAGGATAAAGTTACCATGTATTGAATTCTGAGCCTCTCTGGTTTGCACATTATGTGTTAATGTGTTTTAAGGTTCATGTGACTGTGAGCCTCTCTGCCAGCCTTTCTTTCCACTCAGTGGAGGAATGTTAGCACCAGCAAGAGTGGAAACTGTGCAGAAGGAGGTGAACTCATGAGCGTTTGGTGCCAGGAAAACCAGCGTGAGCCAGCTTATAGAGTCTGATGGGAAGAAAAGGTGCCTCTCAGAGGTAGGTTTGGATTTACAGTAACTATGTATCTTTAACTTCTAAAGTTTTAATGGTGTCTATTGGGATAAATTCATCTTAAAATAAATGTAGTTTGACTTTCTGAAGTTCTAGTGGTGTAAAATGTGATAAGTCAAATTAGTGAATGGGTTCTAGAAAGATGAGAGTGTCGTAGAAAGGAAACCATGCAAAGAACCGCCTGGAACAGGAGCAGACTGAGGGCTGTGAAATATTCGAGACCTTTCCTTGTTTCAGGTTTTGGTGTCGTAAAAGAATAAAAACTCGTTGACTGTCTCCAGTGAGCTGTTTTGGAAGTTTCTGCCTATTTTATCTTAAAGTGGTGAAGACGATTGTGGGGTTCTCAGCTCAGACCTGAGCTTCGTCATGACCACAGGGATTTAGATTTAGATTTACTTACTGCAGTATGTGACTTGACCCACCATCTTAGGTCCAAGTTCCAGACAAAGGAATTAGAGGTTTCGGTGGGGAGAGCCTCTCCTCCCGTTGAGCTTAACAAACTTACTTTTCTTTGATGTCTTTCTTTAAGTTTCTATTGTTACTCGAACTAAGCTGAAGATTAGTGCATCTTTTATATTTCTGTACCACTAAGCCTCACGGGTATTATCGTATTCTCTTTTTGAAGTTTTCGTCCGGCCAACAAAACTACTGAAGCCTAACCCTGGAGCAGGAGGGCACTAGGGCCTGGAGGAAAGATCAGGTTATCATCAGTATCATAGAAACAGGAAGTTATGTCAGTGTCCTGACCTCTGACGCTCAGCCGTCTCCGAGGAGATTCTTCAGTCGGATCAAAATAACACCAGTAGAGACCTTCATCAGACTTATTGATGTTACTGAGGGTAAACTGGCCTTCAGGCCATCCCTGATGAAACAGGCTTCTAGTGCGACCTGATCTTTGCTTCTACAGCGCAGAGTGACATCACTTCCTGCCACCACAGGAATCTCCAGAATAACCTGAGGATCTGAAGAAGAAACGCAGTAAGTTAGTTACTCAGGATCCCGTTACTGTAGTATTACTTTTCCCAGTAACTGGTAGTGTAATGGATTACTTTTCTAAAACAGT